CCTCAAAGAGTACAAGTGGTTGGAGAACACATGATTCCAAGGCAGCAAAGGCTTATAGGCGCTGGGGATTCACCATCTAGCTTTGCCTCAAGACAAGGTATACTTCCACCCATGGAGACCACTCACTATGAGATAAAGAGTGGAATGATTGCTATAGTCCAAGAGAGGAAGTTCTTTGGCTGTCCTAATGAAAATCCTCTTGAGAACTTGGATCACTTTGAGAGAGTTTGTGCTATGAAAAAGCTTAGTGGAGTTTCAGATTATGGCTTCAGGCTCAGATTATTTCCATTCTCCCTTGGTGATAGAGCTCAGATGTGGGAAAAGTCCTTACCTCAAGGTAGCATTATTTCTTGGAACCAGTGCAAAGGTGCTTTCCTCAACAAGTTATTCTATCCTTCTAGGACTGCTAGATTCAGAAATGAGATCTCCAACTTTAAGCAATGGCCAAATGAGAGTTTTGGAGATACTTGGCAGAGATTAAGAAGTTTTACTTAGCAGTGCCCACATCATGGATTCATTAAAGAGATGCTTCTCTCAAACCTCTATAGAGGTGTTCTACCAAGAATAAGAGTCCTGCTTGACACAGATAGTAATGGGCATTACCTTGGGAAAGATGTTGATGGAGGTTTGATATTGGTGGAGAACATGTCGCTGAGCAATTGTGATTATGTAGATGAGTTTGAGTCGAATGCAAAGGCAGCTGAAGAAAAGTTAGAAGCAACAAGGCAAGAAATGAAAGCTTTGCAAGAAAGAATGGATATGTTGGTTCATGAGTCCAAGAAACCTCTGCAATTTGTTGGTGAATATGGTCAATACCAAGAAAAGGAAGTGAACTTTGTCCATAGCCAAGGTGACTACAACAAGCACCATCCACACAGCTATGATACTTCTCACCAACAATACTCTGGAGGACCTTCCCTTCAAAACCATCAAGCCTCTTCATCTCACCAACAAGGCGCCTATAACCAACAATTATGGAACATTATTCCTCCTACCACTCATTTGAAGCCTGCATTGGCGCCTCCTCAACCAAGCAGTCCACCATCTCAAAATTTAGACACCAAGCAACTTCTCCTTCAAATGCAACAAGGTCAAACTGCTGAAATCTAAAAGAGTATGGTTGGTATTCACAACAAGTTAGATTTTTACAGCAACAACTTCCAATCCCAATTAGACTCCTTGATTATGCAGCTGAGTAAACAAGAGAGCTATGCTCAACCATCTTTTTCTACATTTACTAGAGAGCACATCAAAGCTGTCACCTTAAGGAGTGGTAAACAACTTTCTCCTAGAGTGATCCTTATTATCCCCCAATGAGGACATTGAGGAACAAGAAGAGGGGATGGTGGTAGCAGATGATGAAGTGGTAAAAGCTGATGAAAGCCTAAGAAATGGTAAAGCAAAAGAAGTGGTTCAAGAGAAGCACAAGGAGGCACCCAAGGAGACAATCAAGGAACCAAAATATATCCCTCCTCCTTACAAGCCTCCACTACCATTTCATGTAAGGTTCAAGAAGCAATTAGTTGCCAAGTATAAGGGTCTCTTTGATGAGCAGATAAAGAAATTGCAGCTTACTATGCCTTTGCTTGATGCCTTTGTATTGGTTCCTCCTTATCAGAAATTCTTGAAAGATGTTGTGGTTGAGAGAACAAAAGATTTGCAAGGGATGGTAGTGCTAACTCATGAGTGCAGCGCCATTATTCAACAACAAAAGGTGACTTCCAACAAGCTTGGTGATCCAGGAATCTTCATTTTGCCTTGCTCTATAGGCCCTCCCATCTTTGATAACTGCTTACGTGATTTGGGAGCTAGTGTGAGCCTCATGCCACTCTCCATTGCTAGGCGGCTAGGCTTCACTAAGTTCAAGGATTGTAGAATCTCTTTGGTGCTAGCTGACATGTCAGTAAGACTTCCCAAGGGATTGCTTGAAGATTTGCCAATCAGAATTGGCAATTTAGAAGTCCCTACTGATTTTGTGGTTCTTGAGATGGATGAAGAACCTAAGAACCCTCTTATCTTTGGGAGACATTTCTTGGCTACTGCAGGAGCTGTCATTGATGTTAAAAAAGGGAAGATTGAGCTGCATTTGGGTAAGGACTTAGGGGTGGGCACAAAAACCATAACCGAAAAAACCAAACCATACCGAACCGAAAAAAGTGATATGGTTTGGTTATGGTTAAACCTAAAAATCCGTTTGGCCATTATTTTTTTATAATTTTGGTTTAGGTTTGGTTTGGTTAAAAACCGTCAAACCAAAAGGTTTTTTAGGTTTTTAAACTAAATTTTAAATTATTTATATTTTCCTAGTTCTTAATTTAGTTTAGGTACATATTTTATTATTGGGCTTATAGTTTCTAAGTTTTTTCATCCTAATCATACTTAATATTTTTTTATTTAACGAATATGCTGATATGGACCAATCATATCGAGTTTTTATATCTCAATTGGGCTTATGTCCTATGCCATCAACTTTTATATATTATATGATTAACTTAACTCATAAATTTAAAATATAATATTTATAAAAAATATCTACATATATATAATAAATTAAACCTTAATTTTTCAATAAAAACGTGATTAATTCTTTATTTTTCACATTCAAGTCTTCTAGTTCTAGTTCCAAGGTTATAGGTATTAAATTTTAATCTAGATTTGTTTATTGTTTTATAATTATTGATTATGAAAGATTTGATAATTTGTTTGTTTCTCTGTTTTAAAATCTGTTCTTATTGATGAATTTGTTATGATTTAGATTCTATTTTTTGAACTTTTTTTTTTCACTCATAGCAATTATTATTATTATTTCCATTAGAATCAAATTTTTTTGTAATAGTATAAATCTAAAAAAACCGAAACCAAATCATGTCAAACCGAACCGTAAAAAACCAAATCATACCGAACCGAAATATATATGGCTTTTACATGGTTTGAATTTTTGTAAAGCCGATAAACCATAAAACCGAAGAAACCGAACCAAAACCAAACCAAAAACCGAAGTGCCCACCACCTAGTAAAGACATTGTGCTTAAGTTTGATATCAATAAGATCATGCAACAACCCATCGTAGAAGGCCAAGTGTTCAAAATTGAGACTTTGGAAAGGCTGCAAGATGAAGTTCAAAAGGAGCTAGGTTGTGATAGACGGGTGATTATACGGCAAGTTGGCCGAGTTTTTGAACATTGATTTAAACAACTTGATTCGCCAAGTTCACAACAACTGTAAATCAACTCCCGCAGCTTAAAGTTATTTGTTTATCTAAAAGATAATCTCTAATTTATCAACCTAAAATTCAATCAATTAATTTTCTTTAAAAACTCTTTTCAAGAAAGAAATCTATTTAGACATATTTATGAAAGATATTAGAAAAATTATAAAACTGATTAGTAATAGCATGATTAGACTAGAAATTAACTTGCGCGTTACGCAGAGTTATTTGTAAATCAATTTTTTTAATTTTATATATTTATATTATCATTATGTTTATTTATTCTTTTAATTGTATAGTTTTATATTTTCTTTTGTTTTTTTTTATTATTTTAAAATATATGAGATTATGGTAAAGTTTTTTTGCTAATAAAATTGTGATGTGTTAAATGATAATACATTTTTTTCTTATACTTATAAGATGTTATAAATATTTATATTTTTCTATTGAATATCTCTATTTAGTTGGCTTTTCTTTTATTTTTTAAATTATTTTTAGTGAGATCTATAAAGTTAATTCACCACCAGTCTCACTCACTCTTTTTCATTCTTAGTTGAAATAGTACTCTCAATTTAGATTTCAACAGAAATTTGCGAAGCTATTTTGTTTATCCAATTTTTTAAATTTATGATTTTATATATATTTATAGTACTATTATGTTTACCTTTTTAATAATTTTTTTTTATTTTCAATTTTAAATGTTTATATTAATTTTTATTATCCTAAAATATGTAGATCTATTATGAAGTTATTTTTTAAGTAGAAATTGTAGTATGTTAATTGTTAAAAAAGTCACTTTTATATTTATACGTTATCGAATATATCTATATTTTTACACTGAATATTTTTATTCAATTGGTTTTTTTTTTTAGGTCACTTATTTTGAGGAAGATCAACAGAAGAAATTCACTATCAATCCCACCAAATCTCTTTATTTTTTAATTGAAATCATATTTTTAAATTACTATTATGTTTATCTATTTAATATTTTTTCTGTTCATTTTTAATTTTAAATGCTGTTTTAGTTTTTTAACTAACCTAAAAATATTTAGAGCTCTTGTTAATTTTTTTTTTAATATAAATTGTGATGTGTTAATTGTTTAAGAAACTCGATCTTATACTTATACGTTGTCGTATGTATCTATATCTTTTCTCTCCATAACTTTATTCATTCTTTTCAATGCCACTTATTTTTGAAGAGATTAACAAAATAAATTAACATCAATCTCATACATTTTCTTTATTTTTGATTCGGAATAACATTCTAAAATTTTTATTTGTAGATACTTTACATTTTTGTTGCTTGTAAATTAGTGTTTGTTTTCTAACTTTTAGATTATGTCATATGAATATCCAAAATATGTATGTAAAAGCCCATTCAAATATAAAAACTAGATAATTTATATATTGTGGTTTGTAAAGTATTTATATACAAAATAAAAACCTATAAAAATTTAAAAATTAAAAACCCATAAAAAATAAATTGCTGAGATGAACACTGTAGATAGAAAAAGTTTTCCCTAATTAGTAAATGATTTAAAACTGTCAACATAAAAGTACACAACATTTACAATAATAATCAATCAAGCCCTATATAGCTCAATCCATTGAAAAATCTGAGTTTGTTACTGGTCCCAACATTTTATATTAGGCCAACACATAACAGTATGGGTTCTTACTGGGCTAGGGTTTACGGAAAATAAATACACAAAATTAGGGCTTCTCGTTATGCCGCCTCGTAAGCAGCTATATAAATCCAACTTTCTCTCCTCTCTCAAATATCCTCCTCATACAGTTTTATAGCCTCAATTTTCGCCATTTCTTTAGTTTTTGACTCTCGATTCTTGTTGATCATTGTTTTTGTTCTTTAGCCTTAGTATTCGTCAAATATTTAGTTTTCGATTTCCGATACCCTTTGATCGTTGGTTTTGGTTTTGGATTTCAAAATTTTGATTTTGTAAATTTTGATTATCCCGATGAAGAAGAATTCCCATAGATAGGAAGTGCCGTATGACACTTTACACAACAGTGGACTGAAACGAGGATTGCATCCGGTTAAGTTTTCCCAATCCACCGGTCATTGTTCACAACCGTATTCGAATCCTAACCCGTTTCTGTCTACGGATTGTGTTCGGGCTGCCCGGTCGGGTAAACTAAACCGTACTTCCCACCGGTCTGTGTCCGCTGTGTGGGTGATTTGAAAAGGGTTCCTGAGGGTTTCTAATTTATTTTGTTTTTTTTAATTTGATGAAACTGTCCGATGCCACGTCGATGATAGCTTCTGGCATTGATCTTTGATGCTACATTGGACAGAAACAAATGTTTGTGTTTCGCTTCCTGATAGGAACCTGTGGATCTTGATTTTCTACGATCTATGGAGCCATTTCGGCGATTACATTATTTTTACCTCTATAGATTTTGTTATATCTAGTTAGTCTTTCTAATGGGAAGAAACCAATGATGATTATTGCTAAAATATGGAATTACCGTCTGATTTAAAACTCTGATGAAAAAAACGCTGGCTAAACTGAGGCTTCCCCGATTAAAAAGATGATTTTTAACTTTCATATGATTTTAATTTTTTTCTATTTCATAGACACTAATAAATTGTGAAACTTAATTTGAGGCATTGTTTATTAAATATTACTATGGTAATCAATTTGCAATCCTCGGAAATTTCTATGAATATTACGTGTCATTGTTGAAGAAATTACTAGACAGATACAGTAAGACGGTTAGATTAATCTTTTTCCGAAAATATCCCGGTTTGATAATAAGAAATATTATTGGAAATATGAAGCATGACCGCAAGAATCCCATTGCAATTTGTATTACATATTTAGACTGAAGTATTGAAAGTTCTTACAATTAACTCAATTTCATGAGAATAAATGAGCGAGAATATGTTCTGATTTAGAACTTATTGAATCTTCTTGAAGAACCTACTTCAACAATGGAATTGTCCAATTAAAACCACCACCAAAAGAAAAGAATGTCAATAATCTAAAACCTTTTTGAGCAGCGTCTCCGTTTACTTTGAAATCACGTTAAAATAAACAATTTACTAGGTAGGAGGAAAGAATCTGTTAAGGTTAAAGGGCAAAGTGTAGAACTCTTCATTACGATTATCTCCTCGAAAATTTCTAAACTTCACCCACCATGGCATGCCTCTGTCTTTCTTTGATCTCTCGACTTCAACTGTATTATCCATAAAAACCGCAATGATCAGACCAACAGTAGCCGGAGACATAAACAGCGTGTTCAAGAAAGCATTGAACCATCCTGCATTTGTGTGAACTAGCCCATAATGTTTAGCATCCCAGTACTGAACAAAGAACTGAGGTATGGAGATGCCAAGAAAGAGCGAAAAACCAGTGATCATCAAGTTTCTCATCGAGTTCATGTTTGTGAACTGAAGAAACGATAGACCAACCGCAGCTGCAAGAAAAGAAAGACTTTCTTGAATCAGACAGAGATTTGATGATGAACAAGATATTGTAATTCTTGATCTTTGTTGTCTTACCTACGAGACCGAAGAGGACACAATGCAATGCTGCGTATATCGGGACTGGTATAGACGCGAAAACCGCCCCGAATTTGCCTGCGCGAAAACGATCAACCAAACGTTTAAACCGCGGGAAGCGATACAGTACAATGGTTAAAGACTTTAAGGAACGAAATGGCTTAGTTGCTATACCTAATGTAGAGAAGAAGATCATGAAGCCTGCTGATACTTGAACTACACGACGGCTTCCTACTCTTGTTAACCCAAGAAGTCCTACGTTCTCTCTGCAAAACACATTTTAAATCCTTCGTTTAGGCATGCGGGTTCGGTTTATTTTGGTATTTCGGGCCGGGTAGTTCGTCAGTCGGTTAGTTCGGTTCAAGAAAATTTCACCAAAATTAAGAAAATAAATAACGGTTCGCTTCGGGTATTATTAGATAAAAAAACGGTTCAGATTCTTTATTCAAATTCGGTTAAATTTGGGTAAATCTGAATAATTTCGGTTAGGTCGCTTTTTCATTTTGAAATTTTTTTAATTGGTATAGTTCCGTAGGATTTTCTTAATAAAAAACCGATTAGCTGATTGGTTTGGCAAACCGAACCGATAGTAACATTAATTACAAAATGTTGCCAATTAGTTTAACCTAATCAATCAACCAACCAAAATCGAAAACAAAAAATCTCGGTTCAGATTGGTTCGGTTCGAAAATTTTGGTTCGGTTAGAAGTCGCTGGCTGAGCTTCATTAGAGAATAGAGAGTGTAAATATGTAAAAAAAAGAGCATAGAACAGATAAGCTTTACTTACACTAAAACAGTAGAACCTGTGCCTGTTCCGAACAAACCATCAAGCAACACACCTATCCCCTGATTTTTTCAAAAGGAAACATATCAGAACAGATATACGATATAAAAGAAGTTGCAATATGTGCCTAAGAAAGATATGTGTTTCTTGATTCACCTGCCATCCAATGCCTCTACTCAATACATAAGCAGGAGGAGGCGTGGCTATGGCTAATCTTGAAGCCGCCATGTAAGCTCCAGTAGACTGCACAAACCAAATCGATTTAACTCATTTTCTAATAAAAATCAAAACTTAAGTTTACTTGCAATGAATCTAACGACACTGCATATTTATACCTCGATCATTGATACAAGAACCGCAGACATCATAGCAAACGAATGGCCTGCTGAAAATGTTGGAGCACCCCATTGGAGAGGGTAAGGAAACTTGAACCTAATGAGACATTAGCATGAATCACAATGAGAGGAATGTGGACAATGTAAAACCACAATAGACGAGGATACCCTGTTTTAATACCATGGAGCTGTTGATATAAGATTTGCTTTGTCTGTGCGACAACTATGCTGTGTAAGCGATGGTTTGCCTCCGTAAGCTCCACTCGCAGTGAGGATAATGGCGTAGATCCAAACAAATGTTACACAGATCAAGATTGGGAATCTTTCAAAGATTGGTACATCTTTGAAAGGTCTCACATGCTTTAGATACTGCCAAGAAGAAAGTAAACATAATAAGAAACAACTTGGCGAACAAAGGGAAATAAGTCTAAACAAACACAGCTTTTACTTGAGTTAGTCCGATGACAAGCAGTAGCATTGGTAAACCAATCTCAATGCAGTTCCCTAGCTGAAAGTCAAGAAACAAAGTTTAAGATCTTGCAGATGTTTAATGCAAACACAATGGTGTGAACTTGAGTGGGATTATGTAGGAGTTAACCTGAGGAAACCCTCGTTGGAACATTCCAAGACCAACCAATCCAACAACTGGTGCCATTCCAAGAGGACTGAAGAACCTGAAATCGAACAAAAAGATCAAAAGAAAGTACGGAGAATCTGGATAAGAATGACATAATTGAATAGGATTGTACCGAGAGAAAACACCCCAAACTTGGCTATAGCCAAGAATGATCTGTATGGTTGATGCTACAATCAACGCTCCTTGTATAGCTCGCATCGTGTGAACAAATCTCTGCAAGAACAATACTAAACTTGTTGATATTGTAATAAAGAAGCTGTGTTAGTGTTACCGCAAAAGCTTAAACAAATGCAAGAAAAGCATATCAATATATACCTCATGATCATTGGAGATTCTCTGTAAAGAAGAGTCATTAATGATGTAAGCAATGGGGACAACATAAGCAAAAGAGCCTCCAACAACAGCAGGCAGCCTCGTACCAAAAAGAGCTTGAAGAAGTGTCTTGATTCCAGCTACAAAGAGAAGCGTCTGCATAACCCTCGCTTTGTCCCCCTTTTGGATACAAAAAGATTAGATTTTGGAAAGCTCAAGATCACAATTTTTGTTTTCTTTTCAAGATATTGTAGGCTTACATCACTCCCACCCATTGCTGGTACGAGCAGTGCTGGTATAAAAGCGCTTGATCCAAGCATTAGAATGTAGTTTTGAAATGCTAGTAACACCGTTTCAGCTGCAAGTAAACAATTCAACAACCAGACAAATTGTTCAAATTTGGCACCAACAAGTTCAATTTATAACGCATATCTTCAAAAATTGAAACTTTCGACACTCATTTCACACCAATGAGTCATTTATCTCTTATGCGATCAAAGGTTCAGAGAATTAACAAAATTTCTATCTCAGATAGCAGGAAAGATAAGTTTTGTGGAAAAGTATCAAAACTGTTAACTTTATTACCAAGAAAATGTATCAAAACTTTGAAAGGCCCACAGAAACCCGAGTTTCCTTAATTACAATAATTTAATCAGAAGAGTAAATTCATAAGGTCATTGGTCCATACTCCATAAACACATATTATATTCAATTCCACACAAGCTATATATATATACATAGAGAAAGAAAGCCAGAGAGAGAGAGAAGAGGATTACGCCAAGGAGGATTAGAGTCGATGCAATACTCAAGGTCTTGAAGCTGTTCCATTGGAGGATGGCTTATCTCCGCCATGGCTTAAGCCGCCACAAAAATAGAACGAAAAACCTTATTTTTACGATGAAGCCGCCACAAAAATAAAACAAAAAACCTTCTTTTTCGATGAAGCAGCCAGAGGAAGAAGAAGAACCCAGGAAAAAAAAGAGAGTAAAGTAGAGATATAAAGTGAGAAAAGAAAAAAACAGGAAAATAGACAAATAAAATAATAAAAGGAATATGCAAAGACAATGGCACTGCGAATTTAAAACTTCTCTGTAACTTCTTATTCTCTCTCACTCTCTCTCTCTCTCTCTCTCTCTCTCTTCTCCTCTGGCGTGGCGTTGATGAGAGAGCTTTTGCTTCTCATTTTGAAATTTTTGCTTATTTACGGATTTGCCCCTGATTCGCTTCTGTATCTACCAATTAAGTGTTTCCGAAAGGTGGGGTCCATCCTAACGGAGTTACTTCACTTCTCAGGTCATTTATGGTTTTTGAATTTGTTGATGCATTAGAGGATCTTTATATGCGCAAATCTTCTTCAACTTGTTTTCAGGTTAACAGTAAATTTGCATTTATGACTAAAAAGAGAAGGAAGAAAAATTAATATTTTGTGCATTTATTATTTACTACAGAATATAGTAAAAACTCTATAGATTAACAATGTTGGAATTTTGATATTTTCCAGGAAGATTCAAGGAACAACTAGTTCAGAAGTATGAAATCCTCTATGCTTCTCAGATGGAATTGAGGGGTTTGAATGGCCAAGAAGAACTTGAGAAACTAAGGGTGAAGGCTGGAACACCTGAGGTTAAGGAGCTCACTATCAAAAAACTTGGAGATCCAGGATGTTTTACTCTCCCATGTGAGCTTAAGGGGCAGACTTTCAAGAGCTGTCTTTGTGACCTTGGAGCAAGTATCAACCTTCTCCCATCCTCTACTGCTAAAGCTCTTGGCTACACTCAACTTCAGGAGAGTAATGTATCCCTTACTATAGCTGATGGAACAGTGAAGAAACCACTTGGGAGTCTCAAGGATGTGCCAATGATGATAGAAGGAGTAACCATTCCCACTGATTTCCTGGTGCTTGATGTGGAAGGGCATATAAAGAATGCTATCATTTTAGAAGACCTTTCTTAGCCTCAGCTGGAACATTGTTTGATGCTAAGGAATGCACTATTGAGCTAAAGCTGACCAAGAAGAAGGTTCTAAGGTTTGACTCCAAGGGAAATAAGCTGGAGAATGAGCAAGCCTTCTCAATGGAGATCAAGAAGCTGAAGCAGCTTGGAAAGAATTGGCCAGAGTTTGAAGGCTACCAAGGAGAGAGTTTTGATGGCTGCTGCTTGATCAAGTTGTTTGAAGACACCACTGAAAAGGAGGTCCTTGAAGTGGTTGGTTACAAAGAATCTGAATGATGTTAAGCTGGTTACTAGCAAGGGAGAAGTGGTTTTGCAACCAAGTGTCTCTAAGAAGGGAGAGTTTTGCTTCAAGCTTCAGCAAGAGGGGAATGCTACATCTTTTGCCAGGATCAAGGTGAATGGAGTCACCACCACGGTCAAGAGAAGCAAGATGACACCAAGGAGTTCCAAGACTCCTTCTCCTCACCTCAACTAAAGAGGTAATCAAAGTCAAACTTAGTGACTTTAAAAAAGCACACTTGGGAGGTAGTCCCATGGTATCTTTTTGTATATATTATGCTTTCTAGTTTATCTTTTATGCTTTGTTTTAGTGTATAGAAACATGATTTCGAACTGGGGTTTGAGAAAGTCTGAAGGGGACAAAGAACAAGTGTATTCTGGCTGATATCAATCATCTGTATCGGTCATGACAGACCGATACACATATTTTCGGTCATCAATATCGATCATGTTTGATCGATATCAGTGGAGCCAGTCTACACCAGTCAACATATCGGTCACTTGTGACCGATATGGAAAGAAGTTTGAAAGCAGGACAAATTTCGGTCATTCATATCGACCAGACTTGATCGACATAAACACACCGTTTGATTTTCGGTCCAGTGTGTCGATCACTGGTGATCGATGAGATTCTTGGAATCATATCGGTCACCAGTATCGATCACTCAAGGCCGACATAATCACACCGGATGTTTTTTGGTCAAGTGTGTCGATCAATGATGACCGATACTAATCCCAGGAAGCACATCAGTCTCCAATATCGATCACTCATGACCGAAACTGCCATTTCGGTCAGTAATATCGGTCATGTGTGACCGATATTCCATCCGAGGTAAGTATCTCAACTTTCAAAATTTTTTACCTCCTTTAGTTTGGAGCCAAAGGAGTTTGAATTTTTAAATGGGATTCCTTCTGACCTCTTTCTTAGCTTCTGAACACTTATGTTTTTGTCCCCCACACTTTTGATTTCTTATGTTTCCTCACCAACCTTTGATTCCTTTGGTTTCCTCTCTTTTCTCTCTATTGAAACAACAACTTCCTTCACTTCTCTTCACACTTAATCACACTCTTCTTCTCACCTAAAGCTTGAAACTATTAGTTCTTTTTCTCTTTTATTACTTTCTCTAAGTGTTCAAAAGATCACTAAAGGTTTGCTTCTTAAACTATCTCCCTTTGTTATTACTCTTTGCTTATGTTAAAAATCGCTTAGTAGAAGTTTTTAAGAGCAAGCAGTGTTTAGTTTTTGATTGTTGTGCTATGGTTTTGCAATTTGGATTTGTTTTGAAATATCAAGCTAGATGTTGAAGTTCTGTTTAATGTCTATTTATCTCATTGCTTGTTTATCTTCATCCATTTGCAAGATCATCATCTCTTTTACCTAAGAACCATTTTGCTAGAATATCATGCATAACTGTTTATCTTTTGTGCATTCTAGCTTGTTTAGTTGCTAGCTTTTGATCTTTTCTTGCTTTGAATAAGTTTAAGCTTGTTGTTAGGAATTGTTAGATTTTTTAGCTTAAAGAATTTCTCCATTAAAAGCTTTCAGCTATTTGGTTCTTCAGTTTTTATTCTTTCACTTACCTTGTGTTCAAACTTTGCTTTTGAAGGTACCATGGGAAGAACAAACATAGCTGCTGGGAAAAAGGGAAAAGCATCTCAGGAAGCACCAACATCACCAACAGTAAGGCAAGAAAAAAGAAAGGGTAAAGCTGCTGAGACTTCATCTAAGGCCGCTGGAAAGAGACCAGCTAAGGATAAAAGCACCAAGCAGAGAGGCAAGGGAAACGCTGTTGAGGAAGAAGTTCCACCCATGAAGTACAGTGCTAGGGAACTCATGGAGGGATTCTGTGGTAACCCAACCCGGTAAACCATACCGCGGCTGTGTCCCACTACATCCTCTAAGTCCATTCCTATACTTAGCCATATTTTTGAACTTTTTCTTTAAACTTATTATTTCTTATCAATACACAGCGGAATATAAAGCAACTCATTTCATTCATTTAACTTTCATAAAACACTTGAAAAGGATTCGGGATTCAACATAAATAAAAGCACAAGGTTCGCTAAAGATTACAACTGATCATCTAGCAACCTAACGATCAAACACCAAAGCTATAAGACTCTAAACACAAGTCTTAAACATAAATAAAACCCAGTCCCGATCCATCCATATTCATCACTGCCGCCTTGTCTCGCCCCTTTACTGCTTAGTACCTGCACACTCAAGATGAGAGGCATAAGTATTTCATAAATACTTAATGAGTACGGTCATCCCGTAACACCTGGTCAGTACCAAACATGCAATCATACTTTCGGATTAAACATTCAACACAATCAATTCGCAATAGACATAACAATATCAAACGGCCATGATCATCTGGCCTAACCAACCAAGATCAATCCCTTTTTAAGACCCATGTCTACTTCAGCGAGAATCCCACATCTCCTAAGCTAGTACATGATCCGGATTACCCTGAGGTTAGCTAAATACCATCTATGCCACGGTAAACACCATAATATATCATAACACAAGGATTTCTTAACAGTTCTAAACACATAACATGAAATCACACAATCAACATGCAAACATCCAACCCTAGCAATCCTACGGTCCTAGACACCAACCACAGTCACGCACTTACCTTAGACAAGGCTGGAAACAGATTGGTCAGAAGAAATCCCGATGAAAACCGCACCAAAACGAAGATATCCGATCTCCCTAAGAATCTCTCGGCTCACGGTACGATCCGATCCTTATCCCCTCGGCTATCTCTTGATCCGTTCACCTTTCTTCGAGCCAAACTCTGTTTTCCCTCAGAAACCCCACAAAACAAGGCATTTAGCTCGAGGTTATCCGATGAAAACTCAACACTTAGGGAAATATCCGATCGCTTACCAGTTTATCTCGGTAATAGTCGGTTCTGCTCGGCGATAGCCTGATCTCTCTCGGATATCCTCGGGATAAACTGTTTTTCTTAGGGTTTTCTCTCGACTATTCTATTTCTTTGCTTTATTGCTCTCGAATTAACACAACTCTCCCGAGAAAAGCCTCAAAATCCCTTAAATACTCGCAAAACCCTAGGTAACCCGGACTTATCCGACGTTTTCCTAGTTCCAGTAAGTTTTATCCCGGTCTGATTCGATTCTCTCGGCTATTCCCTGTACCGGCTCGACCATTCTTTCGATAAACCACAAAATAACCGACCAAACACTTGGCCCACGGCCCAAATCCCTTCCCACTCGGATAAACCGCCCTTATCCGAGATGTTTTCCATTTTTCATCCGGATATTCCTATTTCTCTCGGACAACTTGTCCCACCTCGGCTAATCCTCTATTTCTCTCGGAGGTTTCCTTTTTCCCCCTCGGAGACAGTCTCCTGACACTCGGACTACTCTCGGATATATCCCTTTGCACTCGGATTAATCCTATTTCCCACGGACTGGACCCTGTTTTCCCTCGGATATGGTCCATCCGGCTCGGCTATCCAGCCCACATCCGACTATTTCACCGGTCAACACCCGACCATAGTTCGAACCTCCATTTCCCAGCCAATATCCGACCCTTGGCTCGGTCATTCCTCGGACAATGCCCTGTCCGGTACGATCATTCCATATTTTCTCGGATACGAATGCTACAACTCTCCCCCACCCGTTCTGGATTCGTCCTCGAATCCGAATCATCCGTTTGCAACTTGTCAAACCATTTGGGATACTCAGCTTTAATCCTAGCCTCATTTTCCCAAGTAACCTGTTCCTGTCCGTCGCAGTCGCATACGACCTGAACCATTCTGACCAGCTTCCCACGCTTAGTCTCTTCTTTCCGATCTAACACCCGAACCGGTCTAGCCACTACTGCAAGGTCCTCTTGCAAGTCTGCTGGTGGTTCCTCTATAACCGTTTCCCGTTTGGTAATGTGCTTTCTCAGCTGCGACACATGGAATACATTGTGGAACGCTCTCATTTCCGATGGCAAGTCTAACTTATAAGCCACTGCGCCAACTCTTTCCAGTATCCGGTACGGCCCTATGTACCTCGGATTCAACTAAGCACT